AGTAAATGAAAGACATTTTGTATTATTAGTATCAGAAATATATTTACTTACCATTGAAGTAAAGACAAGGATAGAGAAAGCTTGAACAGCAGTCTTCAAAATGAAAAAGGTCTTCTGCAGTCACGACATAAACCTAAGACTGAAAATCAGGCTTGTCAGATGCTACATTTTTTCTATCCTACTCTATGGAGTAGAGAGTTGGTCTCTGACATAAGGCCAGCTGAAGAGACTAGAAGCATTTGAAATGTGGATTTACAGGCAGCTGTTACGTATAAGCTGCGTTGACAAGATCAGAAATGAGGAGGTGATAAGCCGCCTGTGAAAGCCAAGGGAAATCATAAAAAAAAAACCCGAAATATTTCAGACATGTGATGCGACAACCAGAAAAATACTGCATACTCCATTTAATCCTCCAGGGAAAGATTGAAGGCAAACGAGGTCCAGGCAGAAGAAGAACATTGTGGCTTCAAAATCTAAGGGACTGGTTTGGACAAAACTCATCAGCACTTTTTTGTGCGGCTGCTGATAAAAATAGGATCGCCAACATGATCGTCAACGTCCAATATGGCACAACAAGAAGAAGAAGTATCAGAAAATAGCATATATGGAGCCTGGATGTCATGCATTTCCCAATTCCTGCTCTCTTTCTGAATGATTGGGAGAAGCAAAACCAGCATTGAGCCCTTTTGAGAAGATTCCTTGCTTATTGTTATCCAAAAACTAGGTATTGTTTTTTTTAAATAATATCTAATCAATCAGTAAACAAACCAACAGGGAACTTGGAGTTGTGTATTGACACATTTGATAGGCTACCATTTATTAACTAGATTTTGTTCTGCACCAGAGTTTGTATCCAAGGATGCTTTAATCTGAGGGGGTACAGTGGTGGGATTGGAGACATGGCACATGTGTGATGATATCATTACACTTGAGTCATCATCTGGTTGTCAGTGTGTGTGTATGTGTGTGTGTGTGTGTGTGTGTGTGTGTTTGATACTGTTAGTATTGTAGACACTTTTGCTCAAACAAGAATGTGTGTAGAGAGAAGTATTGTAGCTTCTAGGAGAGCATATTTTGAAATGGGGGATTTACATGAAACAAAATTAAGCTTTGCTTAGGATGCAAAAGTAATAAGAAATTCTGAATTACTTAACTGTATTTACAGCTATTCAGCTAAGAGTGACTGAATAGAATTAGGTCAGAGACAGAAAAAAAAGAGAATTAAACTGAGAAGGGAAGAAAATGCTGACAACTATAAGAAAACCATCAAACTAATAAGAGGCGTATTATAAAGAGACATGGAAAATAAATGTTTTAGTCAAGGAAAGGAGATAAAAAAGCGAACCATGTTCTTGCAGAGGGCGAATAAGCAGGACACTGGTTCCTGTCAGTCAGTTTATCTTGCTACATGCTCTTGTTAAATTTCTGTCTCTTTGAATTGCAGAGAGGGATAAATGTGCAAACTACTAGATCAGCCTTCCAAATGGATTGGAGCTGCGATGCTCAGTTGCAGTCTTGATCCAGCTGGAAGATTCCAGGCTGTAAAAAAGTTGCAGCCTTGACTTTAAACCACAATTGAGCCTGGAATTGTTAACAAAAGTCATTGCAGTTGTTAATAAAATCATGTTGGTAAGTCTGACTGCAACTTGTCCAATGGGTGTTTTTTGCTGGGAAACAGCACAAAAGTCATAAAATGTGATCACATAAATGTGAGCCAGCTGCCAAGTGCCTGAAATATGATCATGTGACCATGAGAATGATGCAGCTTCAAAGATGGGTTGTAACTTTTTTGAGTCCATTGTAACTTTGGTCTTTAAACATTAAGTCAAGAACTACCTGTCAAGGGGAACAATTAGAGACAGCAGCGTCACTTTCCCATCTTGCTGTCTGGGGAACTAATGAATAAAGATTTCTCTATCAATCAGAATAGAGCTAGAAGGGACCTTGGAGGTCATCTAGTCATCAAGCAGGAGACCATATACCATTTCAGACAAGTGGCTGTCCAGTCTCTTCTTAAAAACCTCCAGTGATGAAGCATCTACAACTTCTGAAGGCAAGCTGTTCCGCTGGTTAATTGTCCTCACTGTTAGGAAGTTTCTCCTTAATTCCAGATTGCTTTTCTCCTTGACTAGTTTCCAGCCACTGTTTCTTTTCTTGCCTTCTGGAGCTTTGGAAAATAAGTTGACCCCTCTTTTTTGTGGTGGCCCTTCAAATACTGGAATACTGCTATCATGTCACCCCTAGTCCATTTTTTCTCTAGATTGGCCATACCCAATTCCTGCAACTATTCTTCATACATTTTTGTCTCCAGGCCCTTAATCATCTTAGTTGCTCTTCTTTGCACTTTTGCCAAAGTCTCAGCATCTTTTTTGTAACGTGGTGACCAAAACTGGATACAGTATTCCAAGTGTGGTCTTACTAAGGCTTTATAAAGCAGTATTAATATTTCATTTGATTTTGGTTCTATACCTCTGTTTATACATCCAAGGACTGTATTAGCTTTTTTGGTTGCTGCTGCACACTGCAGACTCACATTTAAGTGATCATCTAGGACTCCAAAGTCCCTCTCACAGTTACTATTTTTGAGCCAGGTTTCGCCTAATATGTACTTGTACTTTTGGTTTTTCCTGCCTAAGTGTAAAACCTTGCTTTTATCCACATTAAATTTCATGTTGTTGGATAGGACCTATTGTTCTTTTCTTTTACCATTACAGCATAGAAGAAATGTTCCTCTAAGCAGAATCAGATGAGTAAGAGAGTTAGAAGTCTGTTTCTTCCATGGCCAGCTGAGATGTTGCAGAGAAGGCTGGCAAGCATGTTGGGACAGTGGTTCTTTCTCTCCAGAGCACCATCCATTTAGCCACATTGCCTGGGAAGGGTAAGCAAGAAATAGAAGTTGGAAGATCAGTTCTTTTTCATTTGCATTTTTGTCTTCAAAAAGAGAAAAGGAGCATTGGCTCCAGTCTTCTCTGTAAGCAAATAATGCTTGTCATTTTCTCTGCTCATCTGCCCCTTCATTTCCAGCATGGCATCCATATGTTTACAGACACTTATCTCATAAATTGTAAGACTCCACCTTATTTAATTTTTAAATATTGTTTTGAAATAGAAAACAAAAGGAAGGAACAAAAATGGGAGACCAGCAGGCTGCAAATTAAAGCACCAGCCTGTGACATAATCTGTATTTCAAGGATACTTCTAGATCCCAAATACATGCCAATTTCCAGAGAATTTTTGGAAAATGGAGTGGCACAAGACTTTGTTTGGAAGAGATCCCACTTATCTACAAAAAAGACAAAAGAAAATTGAACTGGTAAACAGCAATCTGGGAAACTAAAGATGATAAGGATCCCTTTGCCTTCTACTAGAGTTGTGCACAATTGTGATCCAGTCCACCATAGAGACACCACTGTTCTTGTCTTTAAGGAGATATTGACAGGTACCGCCAGTTTGGGCTAGTGGTTAAGAGATTGGGTTAGAATCTGGGAGACCATAGAATGGATTTTTGTTATTTGGGTAAGGTTACAATCCACCAAAACTATAATAAAACCAAGTAAAATAATTAATATATTTATCAGAAAAGATACTGTAAAACTTGTTTGAATTTATTTTTCCACCTTTATTATTTTGATAACTCAAGGCAGCTAACATACTTAATACCTCTTTCTCTTCCTATTTTCCCCAAAACAACCCTGTGAGGTGAGTTGCACTGAAAGAGAGTGATTGGCTCAAAGTCACCCAGCCAGCTTTCATGTCTAAGGTGGGAGTCTCCTGGTTTCTAGCCTGATGCTTTAATCCCTTCACCAAACTGGCATATTAATAACAAATAGTACAATTATAATAACAAACTAGTAAACTTCATAATAATGAAGAAGACATACTAGACATCCCTTAAAACATAATGAGTGTGAAGTCTCAGAAGTAAAAGAGGACCATTTCAAAGAATAGTATCACAATAGAAAAGACCCTCAACTGTCCCTAAATTTATTTTATATGTGTATCACTGTGAAGATCCATCTCTGCAGATCTGAATGTTCTGGGGATATGCTCTTGGACAAACTAAACATGAATGCTGTTTAAACATTATTATGGTACTAGACCTTTCAAATTCACCTGCTAAGCTCCAGGTAGCCCTTACAGTTGTAGACAAACAGTGACAAGTGCTCTTTAAAGGGCATAAGATTTGCAGCCATGTTGAGCATTGCCAGCAACTTCCCAGTTGTCTTCAAAGCAAATCTCCATAGGACACAAGGCAGTTGTCAAAACTGGAGCTTGGAGGACTGTAGCTAAGTTATCTTTGTGAAAGAAAGAACATGACCACTGTTTACAGCTACCTATAATAACAAAATGTCTATCGTGATGCCACAATGCAATTTCATACCTTTTATACTTGTTGCAGGCAAATACCTAAGGGGCAGCTTGCATTACAACGTTACAATGGCCTTTCTCCCACGCAGGGTGTAACAAGATGGCACCTCCATGGTGTGGTTGAATCTTGAAGACTGCATTCACCCAGCATGAACCCGATCCCAATAAACCACTTGAACGATAGGGCAGGCTTGAGTTGGGATGGGGGAAAGAATGTGAGTAGGATGGCTTTTTTGCACCTAAGCCTAACAATCCTCCCAGCCAAGGCGCTAAAATGATGGCGCAAGATAAAGGAGGCTGTTGCTTTTTCTAGTTCGCGCACATTTTCATTCCCCGAGAAAAAAGGTCCCCTTCTTGTATGTTTCACCTCCCCCCCCTCGTGGCACCACAGGGGAGAACAGCTTGCTGTTGATTCTTGGCTGGCCTGACCCTCCCCAGGAGGCGATCCAGGAGCGGCGTCTCCAAGCCCCCGTTGCGCCCCAGGCGCGCGTTCAGCTTTTGGCGGAGTTTTAGGTAGACGGAAGATGCGCTGGGAAATGCCAGGGGAGGCGGCGGGGCGGTAGCTGCGCTCCCCGGACTGTCGCTTTTCCAGCCGAGAGGATTTGGCATATTAAGTCGACTCCGCACGTGCCGGCACCATCCACCCGTGGGCGTGGCGCAGCGTGGCGCGTAAAACTCTCTCCAGCAAAGCGAGAGCTGGAGACGAGCAAAGCGGTTAGGCTTTCAGAGGCCGGCAGAAAGAGGAGGGGCTGCCGCGGCTGCTACTAACCAGCTGAGCTAGGCGAGCGAGCGAGCGAGCGAGCGGTTTCCTTGGCAGGCACCAAGTATGGCTTCGTCGCAAGGCAAGACTGAGTTGAAATTCGCCGACTGGATGGCAAATTTGCCCCAAAGCATCCAAAACGTGCCGTTGGCAAATCTGGCCATCCCAGGTAGGAACCGAGGTCGTTGGGGAGGAGGCGTTGTTTTTTGTTGGATGTTTGCTTGGTTTCATTGGTGGGAAGCTACGAGACGGCTGAGTCTTAATCGCGCCTGGAAAAAATAGCTCCTTTGCCTTCTCGGAAAGGTGACATTGGGCGCTCTCTCCATGCAGCGCCTGCTATCTGATGGGGATTGATAAACGAATGTGATGGCGAATTGGGGATCATGACATACTGCCCCGTTTCATAATGACAGTCTTATCTGTAGGGATACATCCCCCGATCTTCGGTTTCCGCTTAGATGGCCACGAGATCTAAATAGAAGTCATATCGCTATCCGTGGTGCTGAAATATTCTCCGATCTCCCAGATCCAGCTTGTATTCCGAGAACAAGAGAAGAAAGTTACGGCTCACGGAACCACACATTTATAGCTGTCTTTTCCGGACTTTTAGGACTGCATAGATCGATATCTCCATAACACCTTGGAAGGGTCCCACAAAGTGATGTGTGTGGTGCAATCACTTTGGTTTGTCCACACATTGCATGTTTTCTTTTTGATTCATTACACTTGCCTACTATTCTGTGAGGGTAGCAAGTGTAACTCAGATTAGATATCCAAAACCTCACCGTTTTGGTTGGGTTTTTTTCCCCCTGAACCAGACACATAAGTATGCACACACTCCATCCTACCCCATCCCTTTGTTTACCACACTGGGGAAGTTCAATATTTGAACCAGCAGACAGTTAATGCTATGCCCCTGTCATGTGAAGTTAAGATGAAAATCTAACCATTCTGTTATGAAGTTGGTGGGTTTGCATATTTTTTTGATGCTGCAGTGATTGAGTAATGGATGTGCATGTTAAAAAGGTAGATGTATATGTATTTACCATATAGAGGGGACAAGCAGTTCAACTTGATAGATACTAGGTGCTAAAATACAACTGGTTGGCAAAAGCTTTTGAGATTGCTACTTCTGACATAGCATAAGACATGGAAAATCTGCTAGTACAATATTCAACATAGATGGCCAGGCACTGCTGTCATTTCAAAATTACCTACCTTCACAATGCCTGTCAGAGATAACCATGGTGGGATAGGGAGCTTTGAATAGCAAAATCCTATTTCTCCTTTGAAGGTCTTGAGAGAAGTTTTGTCTAATTTTTGTCTTACCTGGAAGGATTGTTGTGGAGATAGATTATTATAAATTTTACATGTTCATGGAGGATTGTTGCCATGATTGGGCTGTGAACATTTTTATTCACAAAAAGTCAGCTTCCAAAAATAATGAATTTTCTTAACACACACAGGCATGCAGACATGAGGTTATTCAACTGAATAATTGAGACTTTGTTGTTGTTTCTGAGTTTGTTTCATTGTTATTGCTCATCAATATCATCTACAATTTCCTGGTTTATATCACCTTGAGCTTTTTTTGTGAATATCTAGATACTGTATATAGCTCTGGATCCTGACCATTTCAGCTTTATAGCTGCATAAATAATAAATCAGTGTGGTATACCTTTTAAGTTGCCTTTATGAAAATCTCTACACGCTAAGTGCATTTTAGATCCAAATGCACAGCACACAACACTTGTAATAATACAGGAGAATGAAAAAGGTATTTAAAGAATGCATGTGTGTGAGGGGGGGGCTTAAGTAAGTTTCAGCTTTGTCTTCTATATGATCTGGAAAAAGGATGTGTTTTTAAAATTTAGAAGACTTTAGGATAAAAAATAATGCTTACTTATTTGGTGTAATCAATCAAACAATACAGAACAGCTAGTATTATGAAAACAGATGATACTTCAAATATTTCCATGAATTTTAGCTACTTGTATTTAGTAAAGGCAAAAAGAAGACAAAACAGAGGTAAAAATTAGATGGCTTCTAGGGGAAAGATATATTCTAATATGTTCTCTTAATAATTTACCTGATTTGAAAGGAATTTGTTTGCAAAAAAGCATTTTGACAGAAAGAGGGAGGGCGACAGAGAAACCTTTTGTATTCTGTAGTACAAAGGAATTCTCTGTTAATTGCTAATTGAAATCTAATATATGCTAATTGAAATCTAGTGCATGCAAATAGGTTAATTGCTCTGACATAGAAAGTGGATAGCTTGCTGATTGAAGATATGTTTATTTGGCTACTTAAATTTAAAAACAAAACACAATTATTCCTCTCTCTTCTATGCTCCCTCCCACCACATAAGTTTGTTTGTTTAAAAAACCATCTTAAGCACTTTAGTTAGATAACCTTTTTTAATTACTGAGTAATTCAGGTGCCAGGACTACAATGAGGACTAGGTTTATGGTAAAGCATGAACAGCATTTAACAATAGACGATGAGGCCATCTGTGGGTGGTTGGCATTTAATCTTGCTGTTGAACATATTCCAGACATGTCATAGCTCAGTTGTAATGCACCTGCTTTGCATGCTAAATATCCCAGTTTTGTTCCTTGATGTCTCCAGGTATGCTAGGAAAAGCTGTAGCTTTCAGTAAACAAGAGATTCCCCATCAGATTGGAAGCCCATTGAGAGCCCTTTCAGAGTAGATTGAGTGAGCCCTGGACAAGAAATAGGTGGAAATAATGCATGACATTACTTTTAATTTTTAACTGAAAAATAAACCTTGAATCTGAGAAAGACTCAAGTTGTTTCCTTTGATGGTTCTATTTGGCTTCGGGCTCCTAAGTATAAGGTGTACGTATGCTCAGGGGAAGTATCGTAACTGGAAGAGATTGGATATACTGTGAATATTTTTATAACCCTGCTGCCTTTTGGGTGAGTTCTCTGTGCAAGACAAGAAGTGTTAGTTTGAAAACCTTCCCCCCTCCCCCAAATGCTGATTGCAACATTGTCTGAACTGGTTGCGTGTACTTCCTTCAGCTTTCTCTGACTTCATCCTCTAAATATGTTGGATCATAGCACACTTCTTATTAGAGAGCCTCTTGGACCGTGGAAGTGATCTGAAAGTGGAGTTGAGAAAAGCATCTTTGTTCCAAAGCCATCCTTGGGATTTCATTCCTAAACACTTATTTGAACTGACCTTGGCAATATCAATAACAGCTTTTGGTTCTCTTTCATGGAGGGAAACAAAAGATAATTCCCTTTTTCTTAATTACTGTGGTTATTATAAGCAGGAGAAAAAGAGCTTGATGTATCAATGCACTGTACCTGTATTTACCTGGGAGTAAAGTCCTTATGAATATGAGTGGATTACTCCTACCAAACATTTATGGAACTACACTGAAAGTGTCTTCTTCTGCCAGACCAAGACAAGCATACACAATTTTGGGTTGACTTAAATTTTAAATCTTCTGAATGTAAACATGATAACTAGATTTGACAGAATGATTGCATAGTTAATTATTTAAAAATTTATTTTATCTATGAATTTGGGAAATAATAATAACTATAATAAAGTTGGAAGGGACCTTGGAGGTCATCTAGTCCAAACCCCTGCTCAGGCAGGAAACCCTATACCATTTCAGACAGATGGCTGTCCAGTCTCTTCTTAAAGACTTCCAGTGTTGGAGCATTCACCGCTTCTGGAGGCAAGTTGTTCCACTGGTTAATTGTTCTAATTGTCAGGAAGTTTCTTCTTAGTTCTAGGTTGCTTCTCTCCTTGATTAGTTTCCATCCGTTGCTTCTTGTCCTGCCTTCAGGCGCCTTGGAAAATAGCTTGACTCCCTCTTCTTTGTGGCAGCCCCTGAGATATTGGAACACTGCTATCATGTTCCCCCTCGTCCTTCTTTTCATTAAACTAGACATATCCAATTCCAGCAGCTGTTCCTTATATGCTTTAGCCTCCAGTCCCCTAATTATCTTTGTTGCTCTTCTCTTGAGCAACAGAATCTCAACATCTTTTTTACAACAAACTTTCCAGAGTTTCAACATCTTTTTTACATCATGGTGACCAAAACTGGATGCAGTATTCCAAGTATGGTCTTACCAAGGCATTGTAAAGTGATATTAATACTTCAACATGATCTTGATTCTATCCCTCTGTTAATGCAGCCTAGCACTGTGTTGGCCTTTTTGGCAGCTGCAGCACACTGCTGGCTCATATTTAAGTGATTGTCCACTTGGACTCCAAGGTCCCTCTCACAGTTTATTTCATTTTCTTCATTTTTAAATTATATCTTCTATATTTGTATTTAAGTAGACGATAACTGCAGTTAAGTGTATCTGTGCCAGTCCATTTACAATATATAGAAAGATCTCTGCCAGTTTAGGAACTTCCACATGTATTACATTAGGTTTCTTATCATACCTGCTTAGCATGGCCAATACATCAGTCTCACTGCTCATTGTTACATAGGTTTAGGGGTCCACCTTGGCTGGGGAGGATAGGAATTCCAGTCTTATCATATTGTGAGGCACCTAGGAACCTCTGTGCTATCTAATCTTGCTAATTCTTTTTTGTTATACCTTTTTTCCCTTTTAAAACATTTAATATAGTGATCATTCATAGAGTGTAGAGAGCAAAGAGGATGGCCTTGAGGGAGAGACGGGAGATCTGTTGCCATAGCAATGAGGAGTAAAACATCCCTTAAGCTCAAGCAATGAAGGTTTGTATAAACTCTCCTCACTCCTTAATTCACCTGAGCATGAGAGGGAAGAGGTGAAACATAATCAGGCTCAAAAGATTCTATTACTACAGTCAATCTCAATAAAAGTAGCTTTAATCTTAAAATGAAATGGATTTCTTGGTCTGATCTACATCTTAGAGATGAAATCAGACCAAGACCGATCAGACTATATTTACAAAGGGCACAATTGTAGTCCAGTCATAGTGGAAACCCAACAAAATTAAGTAGATAGTCTTCTCTGCCTAGCATATGGCTGAACAAACACCATTTTTTATTTTATTTAGTTGTGGTTATTAGCAGTTTAGCAGCATTTTATGCTGCTCCAACATAATAATAACTCTGGTGGTAAATCTAGCATTAATAGATTTTAATAGAATGCTCCAACACTGGAAGTTTTAAAGAAGAGATTGGACAACCA